AAATTAAAAAATCTGAAAATTGATTCAAAATCATAATATTCAGTTCGATTCGGATCGATTTATTTTTATTCGATTTAGAGTAAGTTTAGATATCAAAATTATATATTAAGATCAGACCAAATTTCAATCAAGAAGTGAAAAACAAAAAAAAATCGAACTAAATCAAATTATATATTTTTCTTAATTTATATATATTTTTAAATTTTTAAAAAATTAAATAATAATTTTATAAAAAAATCTACTTAAATATATTAAAATAATATATAACAATTAAAAAATTAAAAATTAATAAACCCAACCAAATTGAACTTATAAAATTTAATTTAATTAGATTTGATTTTAATCGAATGAATGTTAGGTTTAATTCGGATTCAGATCGTATTTTAAATTTTTATAATACTATATAATATTTAAAAAAAATTAAATCTAATGTGAATCAAACCATTATCATCCCTACTACTAATAAGAGAACATACAACTTTCAACCCCTTTTTCCTTTTATAATTGTACTATAAAAATGAACAAATCTTGTAGAGGGCATCGTGATTATTTTTTAATTCAAAAATTATATTTTTAAATGAAACGTAATAGTTATACTTATATTTATACTTTTGATTTAAAGATTATGTTTTTAAATGAGGAAACATAGGTTTTTTTTAATCAAAAACTACATTTTTAATAGAGGAAACGTAATTATTGTACTTTTTTATTCAAATACTACATTCTTAAAGGAAGAAATGTAATGGTTGTATTTTCTAGTTAAAAGATAATATTTTTTAAGAAAACGTAATAATTATATTATTTTTAATTCAAAAATTACATTTTTAACAGAGAAAACGCAATGATTTTTTTTTTTCATAAAATTATAGTATTTGAGTTTTTATATAATAAAATTGTTGTTTTTTATTTTTTTGACTTTTTTTGTCAAAGGTTGTGGTTTTTTTAAAAAAACCAATGTAATTTTTTATTTATTATATACTTATATATATTATTTTTAATATTATAAAAATAAAAATTTTCTTTGTTTTTATTATTTAATTATTGTCACAGATTTAATTTTAATAATATAATTAACAATTAAAATATTTATCATGTGTTATTCATATATAATAAAAATCATTATAATAAAAAAATTTTACTAAATAATCTAATTTTTTTCCTAACCGAACAAAAAAATTTAACATTCTTATGACATAAAAAATCATCTTTTACCAAGAATCTATTCTTAGCCGGGATCACTTTCTCTTCGACGAACCAAATGCACCTTAATATAATTTAGCTATAGATTATCCTTTTTCCGTTAGGTTTTCTCTCTGCTTAGGTGTTAAGCGACATAGTTATTGCCTCCCCTTTTTTTGGCTTCATCTTCTTCTCCGTCATTTTTCACATATCAGATCTCTTCTCGTTCCTCTGAAACTTCCCTCCTCCCAGGACTCTTTGCTGCGCCTCTGACTACAGCGGGAGTTACCATCGAAAAAATTAGTAGTCGCCGGCCGACGGTCTAAATTCTTTACTGTTCTCCCTGAAGTGTTCTGTCTCGCTCGGTCCTCCTATGTGATACGTATGGTTTTTATGATGGTTTTTTGTAGTTAGAAGTGAACCCAAAAGATTTTCCTTTATTTTTCCCACATTTTTTTTTTGAAGGGAAGATAGAGAAAACAACCAGTCTAAGTTTTCTCCCATATTTTCTTCAATCGAATTTTCGCTTTCCCTCAAAATTTCCTCAAACCAAACGTTGCGGCAACAGATTTTCTCTCTCCGTTTCGATTTTTTTTTTCGCTTCAGATTTTTGTTCAATTCGATCTTCCTTCATTACTTTCTTTTATTATTATTATTATTATTATTATTTTGCAGCCGATCGGAGCTCTAGAGATTGCTGCAAGTTCACTCAAGCCTTGGTATTCTTTCTGTTCTCAATGCCTTTCAACTTTCCTTTGAATCTGTTTCGGGTAGCACTTAGCAGGATAGGATCGTTTCCTGCGGTATGATTTTTTTTTTTTTGGTGATATATGGTTGAGGACTTTTGGTACATGCGATGATTCTCTGGCCTAGTTATTTTCAATTTTAGTTATCCATTGTCTACAGCTTTTGGCATGCTGAGAATATGTAGCAGTGATGTTCTATTTGGTGTTTGAGAAAATGTAGGCTGTTTGGCTAAGAATTACTTGAATTTAGTTTTAAAATTGAAATCATATATGCCTTTTATGATTGTTCTCCATTGTCTTAGCAGTCAAATCAATAAGACATAGGATGTTTTGTTTTCTCAATTCCATTGTCAAAGTTACTTGTTGCGGAATTTTTTATTCTTATTCTTATTTGGATTTTGGATATCATATTCTTGATTAGAATAATGAAATTTGGATCCATAAAGAATGGGAATTGGGATTAGATAACTGTAGCATAACTGCTAGAAACCCAGCTGTACGCCACTGCCAATTTCATCACATAATAGACCTGCAAGTTATTAGGAAAATATTCATATTCTTACCATGGGCTATTCTAATTGTCTTTTGACTTAGAAGCTTGTAGCAGGTCTAGTATCCTTCTTAAACCTGTTGTATGGCAAATCTCTTGTTAAGGACAACATCTTTGGAGCATGACATAGAACCTCATATAAGTGATGTTTCACGAAATAACTCTCTAGTTTGATTGGAATAGAATTTAGTTTAAACTTTAAAGTTCAATAGAATTAACTTGAAACTTGATGCAGTACTTTTTCTAGGTCAATTGTTCTTTTAATTTGCGAGCTAATTTCCCGATACTTGTCAGTAAAGTAATATCTTTTGTTACTTTTTCAATTTCGTCTTTGATAGGTTATTGTTGTACTTTACATTTCTCTTGATATAATGAATCTTATATTATGTCTATATCCTTTTTGATAAAGTCATATCTTTTGTTATGACTAAGAGATAAATAGTTGGCGTGCTAGTTAATTTTTGGTATATATTGGAGGAATGAAGACCATAAATCCTTTTTATGTATATAATATAGGATAGATATTGAAAACAAAGTTGCCCATATATTTACAATCGCATGAGATTTAATTCTTTAGATGATATCAAAACCAAAGTTGCCCATATATGTAATAGCATGAGATTTAATTACTCATAGATCCTAACTTTACCCTTGTTTGATGAAATTTAATTAGTTAACAATTAACTAAAAAATTCTATCCAAATTACGACAATTCAATATAATTAAAACTCTTTTCTGACTTTAAAACTATTCTTATTATTAAAATTCAAAATTTTAATAAATAAAAATCAATTTAAAACGGTAATTTTAAATTTAAATTGGAATTAAGAAAAACATTTTTAATGAAAATTAATTCTAAACTATTAGAATTAAGAAAAACATTTTTAAGAAAAACATTTTTTAATGAAAGCCATTTCCTATTTACAAATTGGATAAATCATTAAATCTTATAAATATGGAAGAAAAAATATTGTTAATGACAGTCATTTGATGCAATTAGAATTCTTGTTTACAAATTGGATAAGTCCTATAATATTTGAAATGAAAATTTAGAAATATAATGAGTAAAAATGTCTGTCTTGGTCACTCTAAAAGTTTTCCAACATCTGTGCCCCTTATATATATTGTGGATAATGGTGATCATTAAATCTTATAAATATATATAGGAAAAAATATTGTTAATGATAGTCATTTGATGCAATTAGAATTCTTATTTATAGATTGGATAAATCTTATAATAAAAACATTTGAATTAGCAATTTAGAAATATGAGTAAAAATGTTTGTCTTAGTCAATCCAAAAGTTTTCCAATATCCATGCTTTTATACATATTATAGATGGTGTATTATAGAGTCTTGCCACACAGAAAAGAGTCAACTAGAGGCTGAAATTTAATTTATAATTAAGCTGAATATGATGACTATATATAGTGATGGAAAATGGGAAAATGTCTTAATAGATCCTAAACCCTAAAGCGAAAAGACCAGAACCGACCTATTTCCTCATCAATTTAAATGCTTGAGTAGATTCTAGATCACAAATGCTTTTAACTTGGAAGTATCATTGTGTGGATAATAAAAAATAAATTAACGTTGAATTTAGGAAAGGGGTCGAGGAGTTCACTGAATTTGGATTTTTGCAGTATAACTTCATAAGTGACAACAAGATTAGATGCCCATGATTGAGGTGTGATAGCAAATAGTTTTTTTTTTGGCTAGTTGAAGTCACCGTCCACCTTTATTTAAGGGGATTCACTGGTCCTTATACAACGTGTTGCACATGGGGAGCCTTTTGGTACTAATTGGGATGTTGGGGAATCATCAAGAAGTAATGATGAGGTTATGAATCCATTTAGACAAATGTTTATTTAATATTTGAATTCATAGATTTATAATTGCAATCAACCTTGTTATAAGTGTAGCTTCCTTGTGGCTATTCTAGATGAATCAGCTTGTTTCTCTTTTCTCTTCTGGTGTTGGTCATTGGGCTCTACTCTTTTATATCTAATACTTCATACAGACTAATTTTCCCCTGTGCTATTCTTTCATACAGATTAGTTTTCCCCTGTGCTATTCTGCTGGAGTGTAAATTTTTTTTAAAATACTAATTAATTGGTTGAGGGAGGACCATTCTAGCTGATTGCCAGCCAGATATTAACTTATTAATTATCATATTATGGAGGGAAAAATGCATCAAAGAAGAGTTAAAGCTACCATATATATTTGACAAGCAAACTCAACCTACTAGGCCTTGAATTCCTTGACTGCCCATTGCAAAGCTGTATAGACTGGTCTTGCCTTTCCTTTTTTCCAAATTAGGAAAAAACATATTATTATTAGAATAATAAAATTCTATAAGTAATATACTAATTTTATATGGGTTGCTTTTGTTAGTTATGTCATTCCTATCCAATGGATAAGAGTTGGATTTACAAGCCTCATAATAGAGAACAACAAGGAGTCAATCAATTTGTTGAATTTGCGTTTGGTAATTCTTCTATTGGTGGTAAGATAATATGTCCTTGCTGCATTAGGTTAATTTTTCTTTATGAGGAAGACAAAGTGTACTTAATATGTGAGGGTTTTGTAGGGGGATATACACAATGGGTTTGTCATGGAAAAGAAAATGTACCATCTTCTTCTCAATGCCATTCCAAGTTCCAATGTCTTCTTCCTTAAGCCATACCCTTAATGTTCAACAAGTTTAACAAGTTCAAGCTGATACTTATGCAAACACAAGGGGGTTGGGTAACATGTGAGTATTACTACATGTTGTGATGGGTATGGTTGGTGGTCAATTAGGTGGTGATAAATAGGTTGTCAAGAGTCCTAAAAATCTTTTGATCCTTAAGATTCTGATGAAGAGGTAGACAAACAATAAGAAGGGTCTACTGGGAAAACAAGAAATTTTTTAACTTGTGGCTGATAAATAATTATTTCACAAGACATTCTTGAAGCTGTCCTTTTTAGTCTGTGAAGCACGGACACATGGCCACTCCCTCTGTGCCAGTGTTTGACATGGATATGTTGCCGACATAACGGAATACATACGGGACACACCAGGACACGGGAAAAAAATAAAAACCAAGTTGGACACGGTTCTAACACGGTCAAGATACATCTAGCCACGGGATTAGCAACAAAAAAGGATAAAAATTGATAGAAGCTGTGAGTCTTTTTTAGTAGATCTAGGCTTTTCTAGTTGTTTTTTGAAAATCTAGCTGAATGGAAAGAAAGATAAGGGTAAGACAATTTTTTTAGTAATTTTTAAGGAAATTTTCAATGTCAGTGAGTGGTGGCAACAATGGCGGCCGGAATTTGGGTAAGGGCAAGAGAAAGAAACAGGGATGGAAAGAAGAAGAAATAAGAAGAAAGGAAAGAAAAAAGAGAAGAAAAAGGAGGAATGAGAAGAAGAAAAGGTGGCATTGGACAAATACAAGATTAATTATCTAAAAAAAGGTGCCAAGTTTTCCAAGCTTTTGTGGGTTGAAAAGTCAGATGGTGGGAGGGTTTTAATTTTTTGAGAATTTTGGGTTTTGTTCCTCTTAAAGTGTAAGTCAAAATTTGGTCAAAATAGAGGAAAAGTGTATGTGAATGTGTGCATCAATATTTAATATGTAAACAATAAAAATTTTAATTCTAAAAATATAATTATTATACAAAGAAATATATAAATATTATACAAATAATAATTAATGAATAAATTTTATATGTTGTATAATGATAATAACGTTTTGTGAAAATTTTATTCATATATTAGTGGAAAGTATTTATATTTATATTTACATTAAATATTTTTACATAAAAATGTATAAAATTTTTTTATTGCTATGTCTTGCTGTGTCCTCATTTTTAAAAATTGTTGTGTCGTTGTGTCTGTGTCGTGTTGTACCTGTATTGCATGTCTGTGTCCATGCTTCCTAGTTCTTAGTGAATTTGTTTAATATAAAGTGTGTTTAGGTGGACTGATAAATAATTTATCATAGTATTTGAATTGTTGGGTCCAATATTTTCTGAAGCCTAAGTCAGCAAAGAAATTTAAGGCTTTAGGTCTTAATTAAGAGAAGATCCATGTGTGCTGGCATCATTTACATTATTTTGTGGGGAGAATGCAGATAAAGAATCATGCTATGTTTTTGGTTCTTCTTTTTGGGTAGATAACTAGAGAAAGGATCAGTTGGATATTGATGGTGACACCACTACTTTCAATTCTTCAAACTGGAAATCACATTAATTCTAGAATATTATATAATAATTTAGAAAAGAGAGGTTAAAAAGGGCAAAACAAAAGGAAAGAAAACCAGAAGAGAACATAGCAAATAAGTGATTTCATATCAGTCTTCCAAGAATTATATCCCGAGCTTAACACACAGATTGGACCACCCAGCTTGGTGGAATCAAGCATAAATCGTAATAACACTACAAACATGAATGCCTCTTCAACCACAAGTAAGCAATTGTAGTCAACATGAGGTTTGCCATCCAAAAAGAAAGAAAATAAACATATTTCAAATAAAATAAAAAGAATAAGCCATCTTAGCATACCTCTTCTTGTTCATCTTGATTTTGGGTTGTGAATAATGGGGTGAGGTAATTCCTATCTTATGCTAAGAAAGGTGCTGTGCTGCAGGGCAGGAAACAGTTTCAAAAAGAAAAAGGGAAGATTGATGATGATTTGTCTGCAGATCCCTGATCTGGATTGAAGGTAAATTCTAGATATTATCTTTTGTGTAACTCTTTAAGTTTCTTGTTCAACGTGTTCCCTGCTGTTCTATCTTCATTGTAAGATGGAGCAATATTTCCATTATTTCCCTCAAAGCTCTGTAAATAAATTATAATTAGTGACACTAAAATCTCTCACATTTACTCATCCAAAAAATTAAAAAATAAATCATCCATGAAACATAACAGCCAACATTATAGCAGCAACAGTTTCCTATTTCAACATTTTGATTTGATTCTGCTGCTGTTGCCTTTTGTAGCAAGGAGAAAAGAATAGCAATTAACATCCTGAGTCCATGTTTAATAGCTTTGTTGCTTTCTTTTGATGCTCGTTTCTGACAGCATTTGTTGTTCTGACCATGCTAATTTACTGATTCTGTTTGAAATCAGTCAAAACTCCTCTGGCAATCTTCACTCTCCTCAAGTTTGGATTTTGCTCCTTCAACTGATACCGAGGTTATCCTTCTCAGTTTTCATATTATAGGAGACAATTAAATAGAAAATTTGCTTTCTTCTTGTTTTATGTTCCTAGATTTATTGTTGCTCATTGCAAATAAGGTAAACAGAATTAGCTCTAGTGCATGGGTGTGGGTAATTCATGTAATTTGCAATGTTTCAATAGGCTGTTACAGAAAGAATATTGGCGTTTAACCTTGCATTTGAATCCCAATGGGCTATGTTAATCCCAATTTGCTGCGAATTAACTGAATTGTCACTAAGCTGTGAATTGAAGTTAAGTTTCTTTTTTCCATTTGTTTCAATTTTGTAGCTGAGAAAATGGAGTACTATGCCGAAAATACAAATGGAGTATTTTATTTTGTGTTTCTAAAGAAATTGAAGTACTGGCTCAAATTAGGAGACAATGGAGTATTTAGTTACTTGTTTCTCTGCAAACTTTTTTTCATTATAGGCCAGCATAGGTTAAAATAATCACATTTGCCTTGCACACTTTTTTTATTGTTTCTTTTGTTATCTCAAAAATTAAGTTGTTGCTAGGGTTTTTCTTTTCTGCCTATTGATAAGAACTTTAATAGTGATCTTATGTTAATTTTGTTTGATTTAATCCATGTCAAATAGATGAAAGAAAGGTCAAAATCTTCTTCTGTAAGCAATCTTCCACTCATCCTGGACATTGATGACTTTAAGGTAATGAATCAAACCACCAATGATTCAATATATTATGAATTTAAAATTGTCAGAGCCTCTTTTAGTTTGCTCATTAAATGCCGTTGGATAAGTTTATGATTGAAAGTCAATTGGTAGGGTGAATTTTCATTTGATGCATTATTTGGGAACTTGGTTAATGAGCTCCTGCCGTCTTTCCAAGAAGAAGAAGCAGATTCAGCTGATGGCCACGGCATTGGTGGGACTGATGTTCTGCCAAATGGACATGTCCGTGCCCCTTCTGATGCAACAAAATTCGCACAAGGACTCTCTGCCCCTCTATTTCCAGAAGTAGATGCTCTATTATCTCTGTTCAAGGATTCTTGTAAAGAGTTGGTTGACCTTCGCAAGCAGGTCTGTTCTGTAACATGGGTTTTTGATGACACCTGTAGGATTCATATTAATGTTTTAATTTTCTTGATATGGGTTGAAGATTGACGGTAGACTCTACAATCTCAAGGAAGAGGTTTCTACTCAAGATGCTAAGCACCGTAAGACACTAACTGAGGTTAGTCAGCAGAATTCCTTTATACCTGTTCTTTTATATCATTTATGTAAAACTGTCAGAAAAAGAAAGAAGAAATTATTTCTTTCACGCCTAAAATTGTTTTAAAAAAAGTATTTATCTTTTGGATATTTAAACCCATTTCTCTATAAGAAAATCAAGAAAAGAAAGATGCATTGCAATAGTTTTATGGATTTTTGTTTGTGAAGACCATAAGAGAACAAATAGTGAATATTGAGATAAATGCTTCTTGTTTTTGTTTTAAAAAACCCTGCTTTCACACCCTACCTTCACTTTTCTACCTTGATTTGAACTGTTACAGCATGGCATTGTGTCGAAAATCAGTTTTTTGGATCTTTCAAATTACAAGTTCTTAGGTGAATGTGAATCTAATATGAGTTTAGGTCATAATCTGAATAGTATTACTTATTTTTCTCCAGCTGGAAAAAGGTGTAGATGGCTTGTTCGACAGCTTTGCAAGATTGGATTCACGTATTTCAAGTGTTGGGCAGACTGCTGCAAAAATAGGAGATCATTTGCAGGTAAGATTATCCATTGTTTCGGCTACCACTAACTAGATTTATCTGCTCCTAGTTGGTTGTCATCATGTTGCTAAATTATATAGTTACTTACAGCATTTCCTATATGCATTTATTTGGTATTTTCTTGTCAGAGTGCAGATGCTCAGCGTGAAACTGCTAGTCAAACTATAGAGCTCATAAAGGTACTTTCAGTTGGTGTATTTTGTGTCTTATCTGTTGCTTAAATTGCTTTAACACCTTGACAATATTTATCCCTTGCAGTACTTGATGGAGTTTAATAGCAGCCCAGGCGATCTAATGGAACTTTCACCTCTATTTTCTGATGACAGCCGTGTCGCTGAGGCTGCTTCAATTGCACAGAAATTGCGTAGGATGACGTCACTTTTCTAAAGCTTTAGTTATTGCACAAATTCACAAGCTTATTTAATTACCAGATGTGAATGTGAGAAGCAAGTGACTGAATGTGATAAAATGAATTTGATATGATACCAACTGTTTGAAATTGTAACTGGTGAACATATTTTAGTATAGTGCACTTATTTCCATGACTACTACTTCTCTAATATGTTTTTTATGCTTCTTACTGCTTTATGACCAATTTTTTACCTCTCATCTATTATGTTGATTTTAGGATCATTTGCTGAAGAGGATATTGCAAGAGCTGTGCCATCTGTTGTGGGAAGTGCAACTGCCAGCAGGGGATTGGAAGTTGCAGTTGCTAATCTTCAGGAGTACTGCAATGGTATGCTAACTATTGTATTGCACACTTCTGTTATGAAGTCCGTGTGATCAATGAGAATGATAAATGAGTGAATGAGTGACTTTTAGTAGATTGCAATAGGGGAATTTTGATTAAACAATTTTGTTACCTAAAAGAAATGGTCGTTATACCTAAGTTGATTTTGCCATCTTGATCATTTATGGACGCTTTAGAATTAAATTGTGAAGGCAAAGAGTCCACTAAGTTTGGTCTTGTTGATGGCTTCGCCTATCTTGTAATGACAAGCGTATCAAGTCTTCCATGTGTTTTTATCTTTTCCCGAACTCCCTGTAGAACTGGAGAACAGATTGTTGGCTCGGTTTGATGCTGCATCACAGAGAAGAGAATTGTCTACCATGTCCGAATGTGCTAAAATTTTATCTCAGGTATTAATTAATTGTATATTTAGTCTATAAAATTAACTAAGGTGTAATTCTTTCTATTTCAAGCAGGCTATTTAAATTTATGAAAGAATCATGTTAATTGATTTGGAATATTTCTGATTTCACAATTGCAGTTTAACAGGGGCACCAGTGCCATGCAACATTATGTGGCAACCCGTCCAATGTTCATTGATGTGGAAGTGATGAATTCGGACACCAGATTAGTTCTTGGCAACCAGGGTTCTCAAGCTAGTCCTAGCAATGTTGCACGTGGGCTTTCTTCATTATACAAAGAAATTACAGGTTGAGGGAGTAGTTATATTGATGTAAATTCAAGGGCTTGAGTTCATCAACAGACTTGTTGTATCTATGTTGTTTGTCCAACAGATACTGTACGCAAAGAAGCAGCGACAATTATGGCAGTATTCCCTTCTCCTAATGATGTTATGTCAATTTTAGTTCAGGTGCCTTGAGGAATCTGTCATGTTCCCATGTTATTGCATTTCATCGACTTATGTGCATCCCATTTATGTATACCTGTTTTCTAATTGTAGCTGTTTTCTTATGTCATATTCAGCGAGTTTTGGAGCAGCGAGTTACTGCACTTCTGGACAAATTATTAGTGAAGCCATCTCTTGTGAATCCTCCTCCCATGGAGGAAGGTGGACTTTTATTGGTAACTTATAGTAGATGCATCCATTCTTCCTTATCTAAATGGTAATTAGAAGTGACAATTTTGACTTTACTCATATTTCACTTGAGGCTTCAGTATCTGAGAATGCTAGCTGTGGCATACGAGAAGACCCAAGAACTTGCTAGAGACCTGCGAGCTGTTGGATGTGGTGATTCGGATGTTGAAGGTAACAATATGACAATAGCTCCTTTGCAAATCACCTTGTGCTGCATAGTCCTCTTATAATTTTAAATACATTTTGGAATCACATATTTATTAATTGATTCAAGTAGATGTTTTAGGGTTGTTCATTTGGAATTGCTGACGGGATTAAATAAAAAATAGACCAAAGTGATGGATGATGGTTTTGTGGGATGAATTGGAAAAATTAAATGAAAATGTATAATGTGGCATTTCAATCAAGAAAGGTGATGTGATATTTTATTCTTTATAGTTCATGAATTTGTCTAAACTCACAAAGCCTGTTTTGGACAAGATCTATGTTCTAGAGTTAGGAAAATCTGAGTCTATCATCTGTATTTCTTTTTATCTAGATAAGCAACTATTTTACTAAATTTATTGGCAAATACGTGGACATTGACATATATTTTAACATTAAGATTGTGGTATGAAGTTTTAAACTGTTAGTATACAAGCTAACAGTGTTAAGTGGACTCAAACAAATGTGAAAGTAAACCACACTTAATTGCTTTTTTTTTTTTTTTAATTCATTCTCCATTTATACCTTAATTACAAAATTGCTTGTTGTTACAGGTCTCACAGAGTCTCTGTTTTCTGCTCACAAGGATGAATATCCTGAACATGAGCAAGCCTCTCTTGGGCAACTGTATCAAGCAAAGGTTTGCACATTTGATTTACTTGTTCCTTTAAGTTTCAATGCTTGATATGCTTCATTGTTGGAGCTCGTAACATCTTTGATGCTGTGCAGTTGGAAGAACTGCGTGCTGAAAGCCAGAAAGTTTCTGAGTCAAGTGGAACAATAGGGCGCTCTAAAGGGGCTTCAGTGGCTTCTTCCTATCAGCAGATATCTGTTGCAGTTGTGACAGAGTTTGTACGGTGGAATGAAGAAGCAATATCTAGATGCACTTTGTTTTCTTCTCAGGTAATAATTTATCCACCAAACAATGCTATGCTCTGTTACTTCTGATCATTTTTTCTTCATCGTGAGAGACTGCAGATGATACTGGGCCACCTAAAAAAGGGTTGTGAGGAAAAAAGTTTTGAGGCTTTCCGATGCTTCTTTTAAGTATTAACTGTATTGCTTTTAAAGTTTTGTCTAAATCTTAGCCTACCGTGGGTTTCTTAAGCTGCATAACTGGGCTAATATGTTGTTTCAAAATCTTTGAAATATTGCAATTCAGAGGCCTTATCCACCACCATGACTGGTATATGATAGATAAAGTATAGCTAAAGTGACATGATTGCATATCTGAAACTTAACCATGCAATATGAAACAGAATGCTAGTGTGGTAAAAAGAAACAAAGGCTGGGTAGAGCAAAAGAAGCCACATATTATGACATAAATTTGATCAATTACTAATTTAATTGCAATATGTCTTTGACAGCCTGCTACACTTGCAGCTAATGTAAAATCAGTCTTCACTTGCCTACTTGGCCAAGTAAGTGGGCTAATTAAACATGTCTATTCTCTGGAATTTTGTCATGGGTACTTAATTATCTCAACTTTTAGGTCAGCCAATATATAACAGATGGACTTGAACGGGCTAGAGATAGCTTGACTGAAGCTGCAGGCTTGAGGGAAAGGTTTGTGCTAGGTACAAGTGTTAGTAGAAGGGTGGCTGCGGCAGCTGCTTCTGCGGTATGTACCTGATTATGTTTAATTTTATGCATTTAAGTTTCAATTTAACGAAAACATAATGGAAATAACGGTGGTTAATTACCCGATGTGCAGGCAGAAGCCGCTGCGGCTGCTGGTGAAAGCAGTTTCAGATCTTTCATGGTTGCTGTACAACGTTGTGGCAGTAGTGTGGCCATAGTTCAGCAAGTATGTTGGGTTTCTTGGTTGTTTGTTAAATTAAATTTCACAGATGAAGGAATATTTTAGTATTATGAAGATTTGAATCAGTATTACCTTTTATCTGCAGTACTTTGCAAATTCTATATCTCGGCTTTTATTGCCTGTTGATGGTGCTCATGCTGCTTCTTGCGAAGAAATGGCAACAGCAATGTCTACTGCAGAGGGTGCTGCCTATAAAGGGCTGCAGCAATGCATTGAAACTGTGATGGCTGAGGTCAGTTACTCACTTTCAGTCTCTTCTATTTAGAATCTTCTGGACAATAGCATGGGGGTAATTTTCGGATATAGGTATGTCCGACGTAGTTGTGCTCAATTTTTTAAGGTTTTTCCATATATTTAGAGGGTCATACTTCCATACCTATGTCTGTTGGATCCATCAGATTTGGTTACTTGAAGGAACATGAAAAGTTGCACCACCATAGCTTTAGACAGTGGCTAGAGATTTGAGTCCTATTATATTTCTTTATAGACTTTGTTATGATTGAGTTCTTTTTGTCACCCACTAAATGGTGCATATTTGCTTAACTCTATTTTTTCTCCAAGCTTATAGATTGTGCCTGTTTATTTACTCTCTTTAGTTTTCTTAATTATTGGTAATTGTCTTGGTGAAACTCCATTGCAGGTTGAACGATTATTATCAGCTGAACAAAAGGCAACAGATTACCGCTCACCTGATGATGGAATGGCTCCTGATCATCGTCCCACTAATGCCTGCACAAGGTTTGTCCTTCTAGTGAACTTTTTTGGGGGTCTTGGATCATTTCTAATGTTTCACGACCAATCAGCTTCACATCCAAAGAGTCTTAACAAACAAAATAATACATTCCGTTTCCATTGTTTCCAGGTTACAGTAGATCTCTTCTTTAGCAGTGCTGATGTAAAAACAAGCTATTTGATTTCAATTTCTTGTCTTCTTTTCCATGTCTAGAGTCGTTGCTTATCTTTCCCGTGTCCTTGAGGCTGCGTTCACTGCACTAGAGGGTCTTAACAAACAAGCATTCCTCACTGAACTGGTATGATGTTTATAATTTGATATTCCCTTTATTATTATGTACATAATTACATGACTGAGTCTACTAAATTTACCTGTGTACAAACAAGATTGATTTGTATGGCATAGGCAAAAAGTATGTGCACTTTGTAAGATTTGGTGGTTTTATAGTTTATCTAATGAGAGGATGCTTTCACACATCAAGAACTTTCTTCAATCAATTTACACAAACTCAGTGTTTCTTCATTCATCTATCCGTTTGAAACAGTTTTTTTAAGCAATGTGTCCGTTGATAATTTTCAGCAATTTTGTTTTGTGGTATTTGGTTTTTTTTTCTATTATAATTTTTCCTATTTCTATTTGTACTGTTTTGATAAGTGATTCTACCACATTTTGAAAGGGTAAATTGCTGATCATATTTCATTTCAGGGAAATCGCTTGCACAAAGGACTACTTAATCATTGGCAGAAGTTCACTTTTAATCCGAGGTATTTTGCCTTGATCTAATTTTCAATTGCCCGTTATTTTTATGAACAGTGAAATAGCAACAGTGATGCAAATGGTTGTGACTGTTTTCGGATTCAGGGAGGTCCTCTATCATGTTTACCATAGAAACCTTGTTGAAGATGTGGTAGTACATCTTTGTTTGCCTGTGTTATTTGAATCTTTTATGTACTGATTTGCAGTGGAGGACTACGACTGAAGCGTGATATAACTGAGTATGGAGAATTTGTGCGCAGTTTTAATGCACCTTCTGTTGATGAGAAATTTGAACTACTTGGCATGTAGGTTATTGAATTCATGAATCACTGGACCTCTATTTTGTCATTTAAACTTCTATTTTACTGATGAACTGTTGGTCTCCAGCTTGGCCAATGTCTTTATTGTTGCTCCTGAAAGTCTCTCCACTTTGTTTGAGGGTACCCCTAGCATCCGGAAAGATGCACAAAGGTATTGCTTTTATAATTGATCTTGTTGTTTGCTCTTTATACTCTATGGTTGGTAGTCGGTACTTACATTTGTGCAGCGCATCATGATGAAATGCAAGCCTTAGTTAACTTTTTCATTAGAAATGCAAGTCGAGAAAGTCCTAGACTTGTGAAATCTGACCCAAACACAAAAAAACCCACCAACTCATTCAAGCCTGAAAAACCTGTTTCACTCACCTGAACCCAACTCAACCCAATTTGATCAGAAAATGTCTGCAACCCGAATCCATCCATCCTGAACTCAAAAACAATCCAAACCCCAAAATTATCCAAAATCGGAATGACCCGAATTGAAGGACCTGAAAAATTGACTCAAACTTAAAGTTAAATGCTGTAGTTAAGTCACAAAACTGCTACCCTGTTCAGTAATGATGGTTGCTTGCAATGACAGATGAAACTTCCCTTCTTCTACTACCTAATTATGAAAGGAACATTCAAGCGAAAGAACATCCCTTTTCTGCATTGATTTGTATGCTGTGCATTTGAATCAATGCATTTTTTATTGTGTTTGCCTGTTATGTAAATTTAGATATCCTTGCTTTTTTGTTGGGTTTTTCTCTGTGAAAGGTTGCTAGTTTTGATTTGGGTCTCAATTCAGGTTCATTCAGCTTAGAGAAGACTACAAGAGTGCGAAACTTGCATCGAGGCTTAGCTCTTTATGGTCCAGTTCTAGTTGATTTAGAGTTGGATGTTGATATACAGATAGCTGTCTAGTCTTGGGCATCTATCTCAAGCATTTTCCCTGGTGACCAACGCCTGGAGTTGCCTGGTTTCGAGGCAACAATACCAAGTCTAGAGCTGGTTCGAGATTAAGTTTATTGTGAGGATAATGAGCTCATCATTGAACAGACAATCGAGTACATTAGATTTTTTCCCTAATTCTATTTTATTTTCATTTCTTGTTCATATTCTTTTCTGAGTGTTTTTTTAAAATACGTAAGAGAAGACACAATAGTTCCTGTTATGCTAGGATCAATGCTTTGATAAACGGATCAGTGATCAATGTTTTAAAAACCGGATCGGTGATTGTACCAATCGTAAGTTCTTGCTTCTGGGCTTAATTTGTTCAATCGGTTCAGTCGGGAATTGATAGGTCTAAAACCTCTTCCAGCTTGATCACTTTTTCTGTCGTTTTTTTTTCGGTTCAATGATTCAACCGGTTGGTCCGGTTCGGTTCAGACACATTGGTAGGGATTTCATGTAATACGATTGTTTTAGCTTGTCACTTTTACTGTTTACGAAGCAAAGATCCGGTGTTGTTAGGGCTGTAAATGAATTGAATGAACGAATGAAAGAACATAAGTTTGTGATTTATTCATTTAATTTTAGAGTTATTTCAATTCGATTCATGTTTGTTAAGAAATTTGTTAATTGTGTTAGAGTTCGATTTGTTTAATAACGAGATATTCGCATTCATTTGTGTTTGATTCGTTTAAATTAAATGAGTTTATTCATAAACATTAAATGAATATGTTCATGAATATATATAAATAAATATGTATGATGATAATCTAAATAAATTCATTCAATTAATTGAATGGAGTTATTCAATATATTTTTCGATCAAAAACATCATGAATAATTTTTTATAAAAAAATTAAATAAGGTTATTCAAAGTATTTTTTTTTATCAAAAACGTTTTAAATAATTTTTTACAAAAAATTTAATGGGGTTGTTTAAGGCATTTTTTACCTGAAATGTCTTGAATAACTCAATTTAATTTTTTATAAAAGATTATTCAACTCATTTTTTAGTCAAAAACACCTTAAATAATTTTTTTTAATTAAAAATTAGATTATTTAAATTACTATAATATATGTCAAGGAGATTATAGTAATTATTCAAGATTTAATATATGTGAATTCCTCTTAATCAAAAAAGTGAATCTGAATGTTGGATGCCCTAAAAATTAAAGAAATTTCTAGGTATCGCATTTTTTTTTTTTATCACACTTTCCTTCGAAATTTATGATTTTGCAAACCAAATGACTCTTCAAAGTTATTATATGATTTTTATCCAATTTTTAAGGATTAAAAAAGTTGTTTATTAATAATATTTTTTAAAAAATAAAAATTATTTTGATCTATGTCATAATTTTTAATGATATAAAATTTATATGATAATTTATACACTGATAAAAGATATTAAATTTCAAAATAATCAACTTTTAATGTTTAAAACAAATTATAATCAAAATTGTTCACGAACATTAAACGAGCGAACTTATTCGCAAACATAAATGAATTGAACATATATTTGTTTATATTCGGTTCGTTTAACAAACGAATATAAAAATGCTATTCAAGATCGTTTGTTAAGCTTAATAAATGAACATAAACAAAAAGAAACTATTTGATTTTTCATTTGAATAACCCATTTGTTTTGTTTTGGGTTAAATAAATATTTAGTTCTTAAATTTTATTATTTTTGTCACATTGATACATAAAATTTTTTTTTGTCAAATTGGTACTTGACTTTTCAAATTCGTTATTACGTTGCATTTTGGATTACTGTCGTTAGTCAATTTTATTGACGTAACATGAACATTCAATAAGAAGTTGATATGTGTACAAAAAGTTCAATTAATGTCACATCATCATTGTCACATAATCATTAAAAGAAATTTTCAAAAAAATTTAAAATTAAAAAAATTTTAAAAATCTTTAAAAATTCTAATTTTTTTAAATCATTAAAATTATAAAATTTGAAAAAAATTTTTAAAATTTTCAAAACAAAAAGTCTAAAATTTCTAAAATTTTGAAAATACCAAAATTTTCTTTAAAAATTATAAAAAATCTAAAAATTTTTAAAAATTTTTAAAAATTCTAACAAATTTGCAAAAATTCTAAAATTTTTAAAATAATTTCAAAAAATTTTTAGAAAATTCAAAAAAAATCGAAAAAACATGAAAATAATTTTTTTAAAAAAATTCTAAAATCTTTTAAAATTTTGGAAAAAATTAAAAAATTTTAAAAAATTAAAATTAAACATTTTCTAAAACTTTTTAAAAATTTAAAATCTTCAAAAAATTAAAGAATTTAAAAAGAATTAAGAAAATTTAAAATTTTTCATAAATTTTCCAAATTTTAAAAAACATCCAAAAATTTTTTAAAAAATAAAAAATAAAAATGATAATTTTAATAAAATTTAAAATTTTGTTAAAATTTTAAAAAATTAAAATAAAAAATAAAAATGTTTTTGAAAAAATATAATAATTTTTTAAAATATGAAAAAATTCTCAATTTTTTTCATATTTTTTATTCTTACAATTTCACATTTTTATAGATTTTTTGAATTTTTAATTTTTTTGAAAATGTTTTCATTTTTGTTAAATTTTTAAGCTTTTTTTTTTTTTTTAGATATTTTCAATTTTAAAGAATGTTTCAAAATTTAAAATTATTTAATTTTTCAAAAATTTTAAATGTTTTTAGATTTTTTCTTTTTTTCAGTTTGTTAAGTTTTGTGATTTTTTAAACTTTAGGAAAATTTAATTTTTATAAATTTTAAATTTTTTTATTTTTTTTTTCACTTTTAAAAAAATTTTTACCATTTTAAAAATTTTTAAGATTAGGATAATTTTTAAAATTTATAAGCATGTTTCATATTTTTAATTTTTTATAAACTTTAAATGTTTTTTATAATTTTTGAAAACATTTAGAATTTTTAGAATTGTTTTTGAAATGTTTAGCATTTTTATATTTTTTGATAAAATTTTAAAAATTTTTTAAAAATGTTTTAGTATTTTTGATAATTTTTTGAAATTAAAAAATTTTTATAAATGTAAAAAATTTTAGAATTTTTTTCAAAATTTTTTAGAATTGTTTTCTTTGTTTTTAGGTTTTTAAAAAAAATTTTAAAAATTTTAGAAATTTTTAATATTTTTGATAAATTTGTTTAATTTTTTTAATTTATAAAAAAATTTATAATTTTTATGAAAATTTAAGAATTTTTAAAAAAATATTTGAATTTTTTTAAAAATTTTTTATACTAAGGTGGTATTGATGACGTGGTATTGACTAAACTTTTTTTATATAGGTCAACATTTTATTTGATGTTAATGTCATATCTGTAAAATTAACTAACGACGTTGGTCTAAGGTACTAATATTATAACGAATTTAAAATTTTAAATACAAATATGATAAAAAAAATTTTAGATAATAATGTGACAAAAAATATAAAATATAAAATATGTCTTTAATCCTTTTTTCTTTTGTCAATCATTACCTTGATTGTTAGATAGGAATATTTAACATTTACTACTACACAAAGGAATAGAGCCTACAATCTTACGGTTAATAACAATATACTCTAAGCGATTAAGCTATTTTATTTTTTTTATATTTTATTTTTTAAATCTTATAAATAATGAAACATATTATTTAATGCATTTTTAGTAAAAAAACACCTTAAATAATATAGTCCAAAAAAGTGAATGATATTATTTAAAACATTTTTTTACCAAAAGTACATTAAATAATCCCTTTTTAAAAAATATTAGAGATTATTTAAAGCATTTTTTGTAAAAAAAACCTTAAATCATACCCTTCAAAAATTTGAAGAATATGATTTAAAGTGTTTTTGATCAAAAACGCTTTAAATAATCTCTTTTAAAAAATATTATAAATTATTTAAAATATTTTTGATAAAAATATCTTAAATAATCCCTTTTAAAAAAATATTAATCATTATTCAAGGCATTTTTTTTGGTCAAAAATGCCTTAAATAATATGCTTTAAAATTTGAAAAGTATTATTTAAGGTATTTTTTTTATAAAAAATGCCTTAAATAATTTCATCATATTTTCTAAATAACATTTTTATTTAAGGTTCTTTTAATTAAAAAACACCTTAAATAATCCATTTTAAAAAAATAAAAGGAATTATTTAAGGCATTTTCTAACCAAAAATGCCTTAAATAATTCTTAATATTTTTTTATTGATGATATTTTATAAATAAAAATAGGAATCAAATAAAACATGTCTTCTTTTGCTGTTAAAGACATTATTTGTCATTTGAGTATTTATTATTAATAAAAACTAATAAAAAGTTGACATCATATATGTTAAGAAGATTATGGTAATTATTCAAAAATTAATATATATGGATTCTTTCAAATCAAACAATTGAATTTGAAGACAAGATGGCCTGAAAATTGAAGAAAATCTCAAGTATTGCACTTTCTAAAAGATCACACATTTTCTTGGAATCCAAGATTCCGCAAACCAAACACCCTCTTAGTGATTTTTTTTTTGCCTACACTAATACACAGATGAATATATACACATGTACTTAGTTTTCGTAGTTTCATTGTGCATTTAAATTTAGTCTTAACGAGATAAAGCTCATGTGGGGGTATATATTTTTAAATAGAACTTTTCTTATACTTTTTAATGTTAATTTATTAATTAAAAGTCAAATTTTATATTATTTAAGTTTCAAAATATTTAAAATGTTTTAATTTTAGGTAAAAAAGCTATTAAAATTATATTTTTAAGTAATTGAGCCTATCAAATTTAATAAATTTAATAATTTTGTTTGATTATGTAATTTTTAAAAAAATTTGAAAAAAGTACAAATTTAATCAATAATGGAATTTAAGAAAATTTATAGGTGTGCTATATTCTTGGGAATTTCTATGTTAGAAAATTTTTTAAATTTCACTAAAGTGTTGAAGAATTTAGAAAATAACTTCAATATAAAATTTTTTTATCTATTTTCAAGAAAATAATAAAATATTGAAAGATAAATGTTTAAAATTTAATAAAAATTAAAAATTAATTCTTTTCATAAAATATTTAATGAATCCAATAACAAAACCTCTTAAAGAAAATGAACATATTTTCTTAAATACTTTTGAAGTAAGAAAAATATTTTAAGGATTCCACTAGAATGTTAAAAAAATCATAAGAAAATTTTCAACATTTAAATAATAGAATATTAAAAAATAATAAATTTAAAATAAAAAATTAAAGCTAAAAAGGATAATATATGATTATTCAATAATGTGTTTATGTGACATTGTGAGATTCTAATATCTTTCTCACAAGTAACTAATCCCCAAATATATATTTATGTGAATCAAAACTTATTTTTTTTTTTAAAAAAGATTTAGTAAAGTTTAAAATATAAAAAAAAAATTGATGATCAATTACATCTAATAAAAAATTCGATAACGATAATTTCTTTTTTACATTTAACACGAGTTTTTAGACATATATGTTACAACTAATATGCAATTTTTTTAGTACACTAGTAATGATATTGGACTTTTTGCTCTCCTGGATTGGATATACTTGTCCACGGACTTCCGGTAGAGAAACG